TACAAATTGCTACAATTTTTTGAAGGACCATTTAGTTGTATCTGTATGAACTACCCTTTCACCCAGTAATTCTACCACTAGGAATTTATCTTATGGAGACATTCAAATGATTTATAAATTTCATGTTTAATGTAATCATACAGTAGTTATAAATGAGAGCTGTCTAAACGTCTGTTGGTGCCATTGCTGTTGAGTCAATTCCAACTCATAGTGACCCTATAGGACAGAGTAAAACCACCCCATAGGGTTTCCAAGGAGCAACTGGTGGATTCGAACTGCCGACATTTTGGTTAGCAGCTGCACCCTTAACCTCTGTGCCACCAGGGCTCCTAGCAGATGGAATATTCATTTGGTGGAATACAGTGCAGTTAATAAGAATAAGATGGGTGTATGTACTAACACAGAAAGATATCTAAGGTAGAGAGAAAAAAAACTTTATGACAGTAAGTATAGCCCCATGTTTTGCCCCATTTATATGCATATAACTGTATACATAGAAGAGCCCTGGTGCTGTAGTAATTAAAAAGCTTGGCTGCTAAACAAAAGGTCGGCAACTCCTTGGAAACCCTAGGGGACAGCTCTACTCTGTCCCATAGGGTCTCTATGAGTTGGAACCGACTCGATGGTATTGGGTTTGGTTTTTTTGTTTGGAGATACATAGAAGAACAGCCAGAGGAACATTTACTTGGTTATTAATAGTAGTTATGTCTAGAGGTGGGATTATTTCTAAAATGTTGCAACTTTACCTTTAATTATTAGTTAGATGACTGGTACTTACTGTTTAATCAATTGTTATATCCATTTATATTGTGATTTTTCTGTTTAACATTATAAGTATTTCCCAGTTTTATTCCTACTCTGGAAAACTATTGAAAAGTCACACGGATGACTACAGAATAATAGTGAAAACTTTGATTATTTCTGTGTTAGCGGATATGTTCTGTTAGGATTTTGCAATTGTGAGGAAATAATTTTTTCACTACCCCTTTTATACGTTTTTATTAGATTTTCTGAATTGCATTTAAAAAAAAAAAAAAACTAGTATTGGGTATAGAGAATATCCAATTGGCTCATCCTCATTTATCAGGATTATTTTCTTAAGACTTTTAATTCCATAAAGCATCTTTCAACCACATACTTAGCCCTATCCAGGTGCTTTCATTTACTCCTGAATTAACTTGGATTTCTGCTTTGGAAAATGAAAAGCTCACTTACCTTTTCCCTCTGAAATGCTGAAATACTTAACATTTTCATCTCTAAAACCGAGTTGTAATTATCCTGTAGATGAAAATGTTTGTAGCTCTTTTATATCTTAATGAATTTAAATGTAAAATGAACCATCTCGTAGTTAGTTACTATTCAATTATGTTAATTTTCTTTTCTTTGTCACCCATTGTTTCTACAGAGGCAGTTGGTGTGACCAGTCAACGACCAGTGTTTTGTCCTTTTCATAAAAAGGAGCAGCTGAAGCTTTACTGTGAGACATGTGACAAACTGACATGTCGGGATTGCCAGTTACTAGAACATAAAGAGCATAGGTACCAGTGTCTTTGGCTCTGTACAGAAAGATTCGTGATGCAGCTTTATGAGGGCTAGAGGACTAGTCCAAAACGGCAGTGGTGGTCTGCAGATGTGTTTTGTTTGGCCAGCAGTGTGTTGGCCTACATCCGGGTTTCTCAAACTTAGCACTATTGACATTTTGGGCTAGATAATTCTTTGTTTTGAGAGGTTGTCCTGTCATTACAGGATGTTTAGCAACATTCTTGACCTCTGCATCGTAGATGCCACCAGCATACCCCCAGTTGTGACAACCAAAAATGTCTCCAGATAATACCATATTTTCCAGGTAACAAAATCACCTCCAGTTGAGAACACCTGGCCTACACCATGTTTAAACCATATGGAATTAGTTTCCATTGTTTTAAAATGAGGAGGTGTCACATTTTTAAAAATGTGGATTTCTGGCTTTTTTGTTTTGTTTTTGGAGACAATGGAAGCTTTTGTAGCCCCAGGTCCGTATACTTTCATGTCAACTTTTGGCTTCAGTTGACTTGAGTATCTTTAGAATGAGACATGGCTTTTTCAGTTCATAAAAGTATATATAATTACCAAGGTAACAGGAGGGAAATGCAATCATTAAAAACAATCAGTCTAAATATAACCAAAAAAAGTGAGGAAAAGAAACAAAGAAGAGATGGAATGTAATAAAGTCTTGGGAAGTTGGTAGGTGTACAAGTATATTAGTAATTATAATAAATGTAAATGGACAAAATATTCCAAGTTAGAAGACAGATGTCAGGCTGGATAAGATAGAAAACAAAATCTACTATTTGCTTTTTATAAGAGAACTACCTAAGACCTGAGTATTTAGAAAGGTTGATGTGAAAACATATGCCAAATAAGCATTAACCTAAGGAAAGCTGGTGAAGCAGATAAAATGGAATTGTAAAGCATAATACACTGTTAGAGATAATAAGGGAAACCTTATAATGATAAAAGGCTCTCTTCACCTGAAAGATGTAACAGTTCTAAATTTAAATTACCATAGCCTTAAAATATATAAAGAAAACAATGACAGAACTCCAAACAGAAATCGACAAATCCACAATCAAAGTGGGAATTTTAACATGCTTCTCTGTAATTAGTGGAACGAGCAGATTAAAAGTCAGTAAGATTTGAATAATACAGTTAGCTAACTTGACCTAATGGACCTTATAGAACACTACACCCAATAATACATTCTTTTCAAACACACAAAACTTTTTTTTTTTTTAATTGACCGTATGCCAGCACAAGGTATTAAATTTCAGAGGATTGAAATCACACAAAATATGTTGTGTAACGACAATGCAGTTAATCTTGAAAATAATAATAATGAGAAAATCCACCTATGCTTGGAAACGAAGGAATGCAATTCATATGAACACTAAATGCAATTTACCATTCTGAACTAGATCTTGTTCTGGAAGGAAAAAACAATAAAGAGGATTATTACTGAGATAAATGAGACAATGTAATTTTAACTAATACATATCTGTGTATATGTACATATATGTAGCTCCTGAAGACATTTTTGAAGATTAAAATATGTCAATAAATTTAAAAATGTTTACATGAAATGGGAAAATTTATAGGAAAAACAGCTTACAAAGACAAAATAAAAAAAAAAAATTAAAATTAATTCCATAATTTAAAACTTTCCCACAAATGGGAAAGTCTCAATGACTTCACTGACAATCTACCAAATAGTTATGGTAAAAATAAGACCTTTCTCTACACAGACTTGTTCAGAGAATAGTAAAGGAATGAATTCTCCCTATTTATTTTATGAAGCCAGCATAACCTTGACACCAAAAACTGTGAAGGGAAGACATTATGAAAATGGAAAATTACAAGCCAGTGTCACCCATGAAATGGATGTAGAACCCTAAGAAATAAATTAGAAAATAAAATCTAGCAATATATTGTAATTTTTGGACAATATAATTGGCTTTATTTTAGGAATGCAAAGTTCATTTAGCATTTGAAAATCATTCATGTAATTCACCATATTAAAAGAATACAGTGGAAAACTAACCATTTCAATAGAGGCAGAAAAAGTACTCAGTAAAGATTATCCATTCATGATCTAAAATCTTAGCAAACTAGAAATAAAAGGGAATTTCCTAAATCTCATAAAGATGATTTATGAGAAGAGGTAAAAAACATCGTAATGGTGGAATACTGAAAGTTTTCACATTGAGATTAGGACGTTTCATAAGAAAAAAAAAAAACCTACCCAAGTTGCCTAGGAAAGAATTTTAAATGTCATTCACAGATAACGTTATGTTCAAAGAAAATCTACTGGAATTATTGACTGGGTGTCTTTTTCTTTCCAACTCTGGCAACCCTACTTATAATACTTACTAATTTAATTACACTTACATATTTAAAAATCACATTAGGTAAAATGTATTAATTTAGGAATACTATATTTTTCTGTTACTTTATGAAAAAAAATCATAAAACTGTGTGTATCTTCTACGTACATCCTGAACTCCCTTCTCTAGAGCCACTCTGAGTCATCTTACATAGTTTTCCAGAGCAGAGCATCTTCACTTTCAAGTCACTTTAACAGTGTTGTATCTTATGGTACTGTTGCTTGGAGCTTCAGCTCAAGGCACAACATCAGGAGATTTTTTTCTTTTCCGTTTATCACAAAGGCATACATTTGTGACCTCTACAATATAGCTACATATTGTTTTCTAAAAATAATCTTAAATGTTTGGTTATAGCATCAAACTTTCAAAATCTAAAATTACAAAATAGTTCATAAATTAATCCCTTTGCTGTCGAGTTGATTCTAACTCATAACGACCCTGTAGAACAGAGTAGAACTGCTCCACAGGGTTTCCAAGGCTGTAAATCTTTGTGGAAGCAGACAGCCACATCTTTCTCCCACAGAGCAGCGGGTGGGCTCGAACCACCGACTTTTTTTTTAATTAGAGCAGAGCATTTAACCACTGTGTCACCAGAGCTCCTTTAATAAATAAATCTCCTTAAATATCTTTTACTGCTTTTTGCCAAATCTGCCAAGTGTGCGCTCTCAACATCTACAACTGTGAATAGTAGGTGTGTGTTTTTCCCAGGCTCCCAAAATAATTTACAGAATGTCCAGAAATAACATAATTTGCAAAGACTTCCTCTTTCTTAAAGGATAATTTTAAGAGGAGGGAAAAACCTGCCTTAGAAGGTGTATTGGGTAGTTTTAGAAGATTATTATTTATGTCCTTTAAAATCTTATTATTTTATGTATTTTTTATTAAGCATTTCCTCATTGCTTTTGAACTTCTCATTTTACACAGATATATTTGTGTGAAATTAATTTACTTATTTCTTCAGATACCAGTTTATAGAAGAAGCTTTTCAGAACCAGAAAGTGATCATAGATACACTAATCACCAAACTAATGGAAAAAACAAAGTACATAAAGTTCACAGGAAATCAGATCCAAAACAGGTACATTGATGTTTATGGTATTGTAATAAAATCATTGTATATAATGTGTTGATTGTATTCACGCTCAGAACAGGGCATTGTCCTTTACTCACAGTGAAGTAGATCTAAGCATGCTTTCAGATGGCTCTAATAACGCATGATTGATAAGCTTTGCCAGAAACTCTGTTTTTGAAATCTTTGGGCTAGAAAACATTCTTTTCAGCCGTAAAATTTCAAAACTAATAGGATAATAAACTGAATTTAGTAACAGTGTATTTATATGGTAGGTATTGATCATCTATAATTATCTGATGTTTCCCAATTTTAAAGAAATGCCGAGATTTAAAAATAACATCAAGTATTTTGGCCAGTAATATAAAATACTTTAACATTTGCTTATATACTGAATTGCTATTTTAAGGTATGCTCAGATTTGACATGCTGCCCATCTCTGGGCTGTGATCTTTCTTTTTTTCTAACTACAGTGAGGTGGAAATTTTAGGATACAAACAAGCCATTAAACTGTTTGACACAACCTTTATTCCTTGTCAGATAAAATGTTTAAGGCGTTTCCAGATATAACTTGCAATGCTTTTTGTCCTTCAAAGAAGGAAATATCAACTGTCCAGAGTTTCATGTCTCAGAATTCAGTGACTGGGGAGCAAACCACTAACCTCTGTGAGGGAAGGGGGCCGTCTTGCTCCATACTGACATTTAATTACAACGTTTACACACCTATGAAATCCCATGTTCCTTTTTGTGTTGTTGTTTTGCATACAAAAGGAACATGTCACTGCCTAAGTTGATCAAGAAATGCATGTTACAAAGAGCATGAACAAAGAGGCCTCAAGTAGGTGATCTGAATATTACTCATTGGGACAATTGTGTCAGGCTTTTGTGGTTCATCTTGCTTAAGTCCAGTAATCATAGTCTGTTATTCTCTTTGTTGGCCAGGTTCTAAATTGGGAGAATTTTTTCCAGAGAATTCTCTTTATTACTTGATTTCCTTAAAAGAGATTCTTCCCCCAAATCTATTGCCTGGAAACAGCTTTTAAGCCTTGATCCGAAACTATTCCATGAAGTCACCTTTAAACTAAACAACAGTTTAGCTCATTTAATAAAGATTGTTCATCTTAAGCACTGTGCTGTTTTAAAGAACTGTCTGTATGAGATCAAACTGACAACAGTAACTCTAAAGCACAGGTGAGAACTTCAGGGACAGAGTCTCAGTGGTAGTGGAACAATATGGGTAGAGACAGAACCGTGACACAGTGTGAAGAACACGACCGTTGTCATTGAACTGCGCATGGAGAAATTGTGAATGGAGAAGGATGTTTTGTTCTCTACGTTTTCACCAAAAATAGAAGATTCTTAAACATAATTTAACCTCTTCTTGATGCCCCGTTATTATATCTGTTATTACACATTGCAGTAAAAACAGTTTTTTGTCTTTTAATTTTTCTTATTCTTCCTGTCAGCCCTCATTCCTTTTATCCTTTCCCTTTCACCTCTCCTTCATTCACATTTTACAAAATAACCTTTCTCAGTCACATAACAACTATAGTTTGCCAAAGATTATTTCCTTAATCAGAATACAGTTTTTTGCCAAATAGAGTAATCGGTAGGTTTTAAAAAGTTTTGTATCCAAGTAATTGAAAATTCATAATGAGTATTTATTAAATGAATGAGGAGAGATAATTATAAGTATTTCTACCCTCTAGTGGCATAAGCAAGTAATTGTAAAATAACTAGTTTTAAGTAAAAGCTCCACCCTTAATGAAATTTACCTTTCCACTTTTTTCTTACCTTTTCATTTATGTATGTGGTATAAATTATGCATCCAGGTTCACATTTTTTGCATATGGATGTCCATTTGTTCCAACACTGTTTGTTGAAATGACTATCTTTTATTGAATTGTCTTGGTACCTTTGTCGAAAATCATTTGCTAAGTGTGAGGTTGTGCCCTCAACATTTTGTAGTCTTATTTCTGGGCCTCACTATTCTGTTCCATTGTAGTTTTCTTTTTGTCCATACTCCACTCTCTTTATTACCTTAGCTTTTTTTTTTTTTTTTTTTTTTTAAAAACAAGAGTGGTTTATTATCTCATAGTTCTGGAGACTAGTAGTCCAAATTCAGATTGTCAGCTGGACTGTGCTCCCTCTGAAACCTCTAGGAGAGGATCCTTCCTCGTCTTTTCTAGATTCTAGTGGCCTCAGACAATCCTTGGCTTGTGGAAATATAACTCCAGTCTCTGCCTCTGTCTTCTCTGTGTCTGTTTCTTCTCTTCTTATAAGGACACCAGTTAAATTAGATTAGGACCTGCCTTACTCTGGTATGGCCTCATTAACATAACAAAAGAAAAAGCTGCTCCTAAATAGGGTCACATTCATAGGTACGGGGGTTAGGACTTCAGCATATCTTTTTGGGGGAGCACGCTTCAACACATAATAAGGTCTCTGCTCAAATGCCACTGCATCAGATTTTCCTGAACACCCTAAGCTATGCCCTGCCTTGTCACACTCTGTCACTTTACTTTTTCTTTAATGTAGAACAGAATTTCAAATTTTCATGGACTCCAGACTTTTTGGAGCCACGAAGGCTGGATGAGCCGCTGAAACTATTGCCCTGAGATAATCTTTAAGCCTTAAGCAAAAAATATCCCCTGAAGTCCTCTTAAAACCAAACAGTAGTTTAACTTAACTAGTAAAGAATGTCTGCCTTGAGTGGTAATGCTCTTTAAGAACTGTCCATATGGGATCAAACTGATAACAGCAACCCTGGAAAGATTAGATGGGAACCTTAGGGGGCAGTGAGTTTATGTTAATGGAGGAGATTACAGCTCAGATTACCATAGTTTTTTATTAAGTCTCAAAATCTGATAGTGTTGAGTTCTCCAAATTTGTTCTTTTACTTTTTTTTAAATGATTTGCATTGCTTTTACAAAATAATACATTATCATCATATGGAAGGATTTTGGTTTTTGAATTGTGTTAATTGCTCATATCTTTCTAGCCTGCCTGTTTGTAGAAGGATTACATTTACTGGACTGATTTATTTTGCTACCCATCCATTTTTATGCATTTGCAAACATGACACTATTTTTCCCTTGTTCATCCTATTCTACCATCTCCAGGATTTAAATGGATTTTTTGAGGTCTGTTGCTTCCCAAGTCTGTCTAGTTTCCTGATCCTGTAGCCAATATTGAAGTCAAATAATTATCTGTAAAAATTCCCAGCAGAAAACAAAGTCTGCCCTTTTGGTCTTAAGTTTTGGAGGGTAACTATGGCAGAAGCAGACAGGAGAAATGAAGCTTTTTTATCTAATCTCATAATGTTTGATGGATACTTCATTATTCTTTTCTACTTCTCTAAGATATTCTGTGATGATGCTGTGTATTTTCTACTTCTTAGCTGAAGTGAATACAACAGAACTTGTTCGCAACCATAGTTTCTTTATCTTGTTTGTAAATCCTATTTTTTAGTCCACCCCCTCATCCTTTTAGGTGGAGTGTTGATTTTCCTTGGTGTCAGCATAATCTTTCCACACTTTATTTTCTTAAAATATATTCATTTTCTTTCAATATTATACATTGTGATTTGAAGTTTGGATTCAGTAACTGTGTCTTTCAGAAGAATTCTGTTTCTCCTGTCTCCAAGAAAGCAGCAGAGATTTTCAAGGCTGAAAACATTTTGGTGTACTTTAGACATTAAAAAATCAATTTTAAGTATTGAAAAACAGATTTCCTGCCTTAAATTTTAGATGTTTTCCCCTTTCATTTAATTTTCAGAATAATTGAAGTAAATCAGAATCAAAAGCAGGTGGAACAGGATATTAAGGTTGCTATATTTACACTGATGGTAGAAATAAATAAAAAAGGAAAAGCTCTACTACACCAGCTAGAGGTAAGTTACTGCACGTGAGACAGTGTGTCGTGGTGGTTCAACACAGTATTTTCCCGTGCATTTGTGGATTTGAAATCAGAGCCTTTTAAAAGTTTTAAATCTTCATTTTTTTCTTTGTAACCTTGAAGCCTATACATTTTTGCACACAGTTGTTTCTGTTTATGATCCAATAATATTTCTTCCTCCAGTCCGAGTTTTGTAATACGCTAGGAATGTCCTGCTCCCCTTGTTGACTCCGTAGAACAAAGCGTGGCGCCCTGCTTGTAGGAGGAGCTCTGTGAGCATTGGCATGAATCGTTAGGGAGATTCATTGAGGTTACACAACTTGTCGTCACCGAAAAGGTGTGACTGAGCAAAATTTTCTAGAAAGATACACTGACAAATTCTCTACACTTAGTTCTCAAATATATATGTTCAACCTTGTGAGAAATTAGGTAAAAGGCTGTGACCCTTGCCCTCAGCATCTGATAGTATGAATTGTGATGTAGCCTTAGGAGACAGGCCCAGGCCTCAGCAGATAGTCGTTTCTCACTTAGGCAAGAAAAACATTACTCTCTTTGTCAACTTTTTTATATTCCTCAAGGTCAAGATCTAAAGCCAGTGTTTGACTTCAAATAATATGAGTTTATAATTTTCACATGGCATATTAACATAGTAATTACATCATCTTCCAGTATTCTTTTAGTATATCGATGCAGAAAGAATTCACAGTGAAAAAGCCATTTAGAATGAGAAGAGAATAAAAGAATTGTAATGTTTAAAGATTTTTTTAAGGCTCCTGGAAATAATGTAGCTCAACCTCTTTGTTTTGTAAGATCTCTGTCAGAAGGTTTTACCTGTTCTGGAAACATGTGGTTGCTGAGTGTACCCGTGGCTTACAGCCGTGTAGGAAAGTGAGACCAAAATAATTCTGGATTCTTGTGGAAGCAAATGGTTGTTTATTGAGGAAGTTTTCTGGGCAGGAGGGATCAGACCCTATTTACAGTAACTATTTTTTCAAGGTTCTATGATTTTTTTTTTTTTTAATAGAACCACGTGAACAGAAGTTTTTAAGTTTTCAAAGCTCTGCTACAAGTCAGACATTTTGCTTTGCTTTACCAGAGATGAGCAGTGCATAGAGTGCTGTGGCTCTTTTTCTAAACTTGACTGTACACGAGAATCATTTGCAGAGCTTTAAAAAAGAAAAAAATATGACCAGAGTCTTTAGGAGTGAATTTGGTAATCGTATTAGTTTTAATTGACTTTATTGACATATAATTTTCACAGTACCTTTTAAATCTCCCTTTAGACCTCATACATGTTCTTCTGATTCACAAAATCCTTTCAAGCAGATGAAAGTAACCATTTCTATCTGCTAAGACTCAAGAGAAATCAGCTCAAATAGTTGTTACCATAGAAGACCAAGAAACTAGGGCTTCTGATTCTCAATTTGCAACCTCCCCAAAGTTAACAGAATTTCTCTTCTTTCTAGACCATTTCCAAAGAAACACCCTTCCTTCCTTCCTCCCTCCCTCCCTCCCTCCCTCCCTTTCCTTCCCTTCCCTCCTTCCTTTTCCTCCCTTTCCTTCCTTCCTTCATGTGAAATTTAGTTTATTTTTTAAGCTCAGTTGTTACATTGGGTCATCAGTGCTACTTTCTCATTACCCTTCTCTGGCCTCATTTTCTCTGTGCTTAAGCAGATAGTAATAGATTAGTTCAGTGGTCTCCAAAGTGAGGCAAAGCTTCCCTCAGAGAGCACATTCAACAATGCATTAGGGTGCAGGAGAAATTCTAGATGTTTTAAAGTTTTGTAGACTTTATTTTTTAGAACAGTTGTAGGTTTATAGAAAAACCGTACAGAAAGTACAGAGTTCCTATACACAGCCTACCCGCCTGCACGTAGTTTCTCCTACCCTTAACATCTTGTTATTAGTTACGTTTGATGAACCAATATTGATAGTTTATTAACTAAATTCCTTAGTTAAAGGTTCACTTTTCCTGTTGTACCAGTTCTGTGGGTTTTGACAAATGCCTAATGTCGTGTATCCACCGTCACGGTGTCACCCGGATAGTTTCACCGCCCTAAAAATGCTGTGCTCCACCTGTTCACCCGCCTCCTCCCTTGGGGCCCCTGGCAGCCACTGATCATTTCAGGGTCTCCGTAGTTTTGTCTTTTCCAGAATGTCAGACAATTGGACTTGTACAGTGTGTAACTTTTTCAGCACTCACTTTTTACAGAGGTCAGAAATAGTCTAATAGGTGAGGCGTCTTCTCTCTGAACATAAGTTAGACATGACAAAGCCACTGACTGTTGCCAGTCCCTTAAATAGACAGACTCACTGCAGTTCGTCCCTTCATTCACTTTCGTACCTGTATGTTTTCCGAATTTGCAGCTGACTAGGGCCAGGGTCTTGGCTTTTTATCGAACATGTAAGTCCTTGATGGGGTGTAGCATTTTACTTTTAAACTTAGTTCTGAGTTGTCTGAGCCCGTTGAAAGCCCTATCCTCTTCCTTCCTCTTTCCTTGGCCAGTCAAGCATGAGGTTTTTGGATAGGGGCCTTTAAGTAACCCAAGCCCAGTGCTCCTGGGAGATTTTCTCTTCTGCTGATACGTAGCTTTTTATTGACTCCCAAGGTAATTCTCAGTAGACAGAAATAATATGATGGCTTTTTCACGGCAAACAAAGGGAAGTGTCCTCTACCACATGACACAACTTTTGGCACAGAGTGCTTACAGTGGGGGCTAGAATGCAGAAAAGGTAAAATCATGCGATTGAGCAAGTCAGTGTGATCTGATAACTTTACTGGAGCGTGGAACGGTACACCTGTTTTATTTGTGAGTACTGAATTTAACACATTTCCTCTGTCATAGCTAGTCCATGCTTTTGGCTTTTTTTGTGTATCGGGAAAAGCATCAGCAGAGACCTAAGCCCCAGAATATGTCAAACCAGACCCTGGGGCTGGGGCTGGGGCTGGGGGTGTTTGGGACAGTGTTTGCTGCAGTGAACAAGATCGTTTGTACTAAGAGGGAAAAACCACTAAGAGTTTCTGTCAATTGGATCCTTAGGGTGGTGGTTATTCTAATTTGGTAATCTGAAAATGGCAAATCAAGTGTATGTTATATGTGCAAACTAATTTTGAGAATTATCTTCTTGTTTTCAGAGTCTTGCAAAGGATCATCGCATGAAACTTATGCAGCAGCAGCAGGAAGTGGCTGGACTTTCTAAACAGTTGGAACATGTCATGCATTTTTCTAAATGGGCCGTTTCCAGTGGCAGCAGCACAGCATTGCTTTATAGCAAGCGCCTGGTAAGACAGACCGAGTGCGGCACTTGACGTGCCGTAAAATGGCAGAATGGAACAATGGAGTCATTGGAATGCTCAAAATTCAGAAATGTACCATTCATGGTTTTAGTCTGTGTTTAAATGCCTTTGATCTGTTTCTAATTTTAATGGATCAAAATATTTTGGTTTTAAAAATATTAGTTTTAGCTCAAATGATTTAAAAGTAACTTTAATTTTAATCTACCATTTTCACTCCTATTTTGTTCTTTTCCAAGTTATCACTCAGTCTTAGTAGCAATTGAAAATACAACAATAATGATAATAGACACTACTGAGCACCTATAGTGTGTCAGGCACTAATTCTAAGCATTTCCCACATATTTCATTTAAAATGTTACATTAGTGCTATGAGATCAGCACACCTATCCATCCCCATTGTACAGATGATGAAACTAAGGCACAGAGGGAAGTATCATGCCTAAGGTCACACAGTAAGAAGGCTAGTCAGGACTTGAACTAGACACCTGACCTCGAGTTCCTTGTCAGTTCTGTATTACTGACTCTGGACAACAGGTAGTGCTGGTGATTTCAGTCCCAACTGTTACAGAGAAGTGACTGTGATCTGGTGGACTATTTTGCATATCAGTCACTTGTTCAGTAGGTCTGGAGCGGAGCCCGAGAGTCCGTATTTCTAACAAGCTCCCAGGAGATGCTGATGATGCTGGTCTGTGGACCAGGCTTTGAGTAGCAAGGGTCTAGAAGAGAGTTAGCCATTGGAAACCAAGCCCTGTGAACATCCTTAAAACGTCCTGCGCTACTTGCATTTTTTTTAAAGGCTCAACAGAGCTTTATACTCTGAAGTCAAGTCAAGACATCCAAATCAGTTTTCTGTTGCCTAAACCTAGTTTTTGGAATCAAATGACAGAAATTTCCTATTATGGATTGAACTGTGTCCCCCCAAAATATGTATTTAAATCCTAACCTCTATGCCTGTGGTATGATCCTATTTGGGAGTGGGTTGCCTGTGTTAATGAGACAGGATTAGTATAGGGTGTATCTTGAGTCAGTCTCTTTTGAAATATAAAAGAGATTAAAAGCAAGGTGAGATGGGTGAAATAGATGCCAAGATACATGGAGATCTCCAAGGAACCAGGAAGCAGAAGCTGAAGAGACAAGGACTTTCCCCCAGAGCCAACAGAGAGACAGCCTTCCTCTAGAGCTGGCGCTCTGAATTTGGACTTCTAGCCTCCTAAACTGTGAGAAAATAAATTTCTGTTTGTTAAAGCCACCCACTTGTGGTATTTCTGTTATAGCAGCACTGGATAACTAAGACATTTCCTATGACCATTTTTTAAATAAGGGAATGTAGTTCTGGATACACTTTTATAAACTAGGTTCAAATATTGAGTGACGTAGAATATTGATTTGTAACTATTTCTAAAACTATTCCTAACCCTGAGTTACATTCAACTCTTAGGATTTTTTTTTCCCTTTTGTTCATAATTTTCCATAGTGTAGTGACTCAATCTTGAGTCTTTTTTTTTTTTTTTAACTGCTTTCATTGGGCTTAATGAAAAACACCTACATAGTACATACCTTCCCTGTTACCTACATTTTTCTGAAAGTCCAACAGAAAGGGGATAGAGGGAGAAAGAATAATTTTTTCATCTAGACTTATAATGAATGTTTTTATTTGCGTGTGTATAAGACAGCCTATTATTCACTTAGTCAGATAAAGACTCAGTGACCTCCTATCAGCTTAAAACTCTGGTTCTCTAATTCTATTCCTTCATCTTGGAGATAGTTCTCTATATTATACATAGGAGAAAATCTACACGATGAATCATAGAATCAATATTACTAGATTCCGGATTGACTAAATCTTGTTTTTCTAAATTTTAAGACCATTGACTCCTCACCAGCAGCTGATGTAGTCAATAATTTGCCTTAGTGTACGCAGTGCCGAGATTTGTGACTGTTTAAAAACACTCAGAAAATTTGATACATAAGAGTTTTTATTCTTTGTAAATATAGCCATGTTTACTTAGGTTAACCTGTAAGTGATGGATTTTATATCCTTATAAAAATTTAAGAAGAAATGCCTTGGTTGGCCTGAGATTTCAGGCTTGGCTTGTAACTATTAATTGCATATCTGTTGGGTTTTTTTTTTTTTTTTTTGCGTTCAGAATTATAGTCAATAAAAGACCAAACCCAGTGAAACTGTAGAATCCTGTCAGAAGGCCAGTGTTTCTTAAAGTATTTTGAAATATTTAAGCTTCATAAGCATTTCCTTAGGATTTGTCTGTCATTTGTTAAACATTGAATTTACCTTTATTTAGACAGAAGGCAAGAAAAATATATTGACAAGAGAGAGACTAGGAAAGTAAAACATAGCCATTCTTAATAGCAGTAGAGATTTCTGTACCATCAGTGATTACAAAACTATTAAGGAATTCCGTACTCTCTTCTACTCCCCTTCCCCCATCATCCCATCTAATGAATCTTCAAGCACCTTCCTGAATATCTCATTCTTTCTAGACTTGCCAGTGCCTTCCTTCTGACCCTCAGATCTCTGTACATAGTGTGCTCTCTTGCCTGGGTGCTGGTACTCTTTCTTAGAATGCCTTTCCTCTCCCCTGCATACCTTCTGTTCATCTTTAGAGACTACTAGTTTTCATTTAGGCTCTTCTTCCTCTTGGCAGCCTTCCATGGCCAGGGTTGTACAGGGTTCCCTTCCTGTGTGCTTATAAAGCACTTGTGCATATGTCTAGCATCTTCTTACTAGATTTGATCTACTCCTATTGTATTTGCGTATTTCTTCTATGTATCTCATTAGATTTTATACTCGTAATGGTAGGAACTTTGTGTTTCCCGGTGCCTGACATATAGGAGATTAACAAAACTAGCCGGAAGAAATGAGGAACCAGATTCCATCTACTGTCAGAAGCTAATAGCGAAGTGTAGACAAAACTCCGTGTTATTTTACAGAATTGTAAACTCAGAAATATTTTCTTTTTAAAGCTTATTTTAACTTGTATGGAAAGGAAGCAGCATATAGTATTAACATTTCAAAAGCTATTTTGACACATTTCGTGTTTTTTAAAATTTTTGTCTTTGCTTTTTGAATAGTGCCTAAGTTTTCAGTGTGAAGCCTGAGTTTAACTTCAGGTACATCTGAGGGGATTAACAAGTAGACTTCATGGGTCGATATTTATCTTTTACACTAGCCAAGCTTTATGACTTCTCATAATTAACTAAAACATGCGTCAGGAGTTCTGGCAAGCGTACTAGTTTACACTTTAGATGAGTAGTAAAATGTTTTAATAGCGAAACAACCCATATATCTTTATATTGAATAGCAGTAAAAAATAAAGCAGAAAAATGTATTATGTGAGATAAAGAGCAGAGTTTGGCCAAGTTTGACGTAACTTTTAGACTTTGCCATGACTTAATTAGCATATAGATCCTAGCTATCTAAGTTATAAATAAACTGTATGACTTCTAGCTTCTCATCAGCGAAAGAGAAGGGATTTACAGTATAGTATGACGCGCTTACTGATGAAGATCAAAGACTACAGCTTTCAGTATGGATTACACCTCAACATAAAACAAACAGAAATCCTCACAACTGGACCAATAAGCAACATCACAATCAACAGAGAAAAATTGAAGTTGTCAAGGATTTCATTTTACTTAGATACACAATCAGTGCCCATAGAGGCAGCAGTCAGGAAATCAAAAGATGCGTTGCGTTGGGCAAATCTGCCGCAAAAGACCTCTTTAAAGTGTTGAGAAGCAAAGCTGTCACTTTGAGGACTAAGGTGCACCAGATCCAAGCCATGGTGTTTTCAATCTCCTCATATGCATGGGAATGCTGGACAGTGAATAAGGAAGACCAAAGAAGAACTGATGCCTTTGAGTTATGATGTTGGCAAAGAATATTGAATATACCATGGACTTCCAGAAAAATGAACAAATCTCTCTTGGAAAAAGTTCAACCAGAATGAACCTTAGAAGCGAGGATGGCAAGACTTCATCGCACATACTTTGGACACGTTACTAGGAGGGACCAGTCCCTGGAGAAGGACGTCATGCTTGGTAAAGTAGAGGGCGAGTGAAAAAGAGGAAGACCCTCAATGAGATGGATTGACCCAGTGGCTGCAACGATGGGCGCAAACATAGCAAAGATTGTGAGGATGGCGTAGGACCAGGCAGTATTTCGTTTTGTTGTACACAGGATCTCTATGAGTCAGAACCGACTTGACTGACAACAACAACATTTATTTATTTATGTATGTATGTATTTATTATATCTATTATGGACTCATGTATTCATATGTAATTCAGTGGGTTGTAATCCATTATTATCATTATTTTAATATTCAAATTTGTCGTTGACTTGTTCAGTGGGAGCCCCTTTTGGCTGGATTGTGGTCATTTTGGCATGTCCTCATCATTCTCTTGAGCATGTCTGTACTTTCTGTTATAACAAGATGTCCAGGCATATCTTGTACTTTCCGTCACCCAGCCCTGGAATTGGTCATTTCTCCAAGGAGTTCTGACTCTTTTCAGTGGAGAGTGGTATTTAGAAACCAATATTTGGAAGTACAGCATGCTCACTGCTGAGGTACAGCGTATAAACGTTTGCTTCGTAAAACCAAACCATTACTGTCAAGTCTATTCTGACTCACACAGACCCTATAGGACAGAGTAGAACTGCCCCATAGGGTTTCCAAGGAGCACCTGGTGGATTCGAACTGCCGGCCTTTTGATTAGCAGCCATAGCTCTTAACCACTACACCACCAGGGTTTCCATTTGCCTCATAGTTCCCTTTAATTAGAGCTGATTTCCTTTAAAGGATGTACTGGCGTTTCTGATTTAATGTTTTATTTATTGGCAAGAAAGCTTATAATACTTAATTTTCACACTAGAAATTATAAGGTATTCAAACTACTGAGTCAGTGTGCCTGAGGGGGGGAAATATATTTTTCTTTTCAAATGAAAAATGATCAAATATTTTTTC